GTAATTTTTTCAAGAAAAAAAAATCTCTGAAAATGGCTGAATTTCTGGTATGTTGTACTGATGGAAAAATTCAATTGACCTAACTTCAAAAAATTGACAGTTTTTCGATATTGACCTCCAAAAAATCAATAGACAAAGTTGCTGTTTTCGAATTGGTATTTGGCATTTCATTCTTCTATAAACAATTCTTCATATGATACACCCACAGGTGAAGAACGCCGAGAGGATGTAATGAAATATATATTATTCAAAAGATGGTTATAGTATAGTCTTTCCGGAGTCAATGGGGTTGAAGGTATACACACTAGTCGAATTTATGCCATATATCTATTTTATTTCGATCATTCCATCTATTATAAAAGAAGTCGATACACTCATTCATTACTTACAATAATACCAAATATATTTTTTTAAATAATCAGAATAATCACCTCTCAGCAACACTTTTGCCGCAGATGACGTGACATTGACATACCGATACCGATAAACACTTTTAGATTTTTATTGCTCAACAACCAATGAGAATATTTCCAAATTCTTCATAGAATTGAGGATTTATTTCCATAGTCGGAGTGGAGTGTTGTGTACTGAAGTATACACAATACATAAATCGTATCGTATAGTATAATTGCAATGGATTGGTCGCGGTATAGAACGTCATCACGCGTTTTCCCTCGATTTTCATGTTATAAAATATCGTGAATTTCAATAATTATTTACAATATGTACATCTGAACAGAAAAAAGGTTTGCGACAGTGAACAACTTTGGGTTAGCTCTTCAAAATTATGGAATAAAATAAAATATTAGCAATGGATTGATCCCGGTATATGACGTCACGCGTTGTTTCGCAATTTTCATGTAATGAAATATCGTGAATTCCAATAGTTATTTACAATATGTACACGCGTTGTCCCGCGATTTTCATGAGATAAAATATCGTGAATTTCAATAATTATTTACAATTGACAAGTGATCAAGTGAACAAGTTTGGGTTAGTTCTTCAAAATGATAAATGAAAATGAAATTATTTCCTAAAACAGTCCCATCTTCTCACCTATATGAGGATGTTTAGGTAAATATGTTTGAAAAACGAAACTGCAACATAGTTTAATCGACTCATTTTTCTAGTAGGTTCACTCATAGATTTCTGAGGATGCCCCATAATAAAGGACGAAACGTCGATGATGATGAAGCATTATTTTTCCCTGACTCTCCTAACCTTGGAATTGTATAGAATAACATTCTGAAGGTTTAGTTCCATACAGTTGTTTGAATGCCATTTAGGGGTCAGTAGCAGTAAAACTGTCAATTTTTTGAGTTAAGGTCAATGGGGTTTTTTCATCAGTTCATTCATATCTACAACATACCTACATAATCCAGCCGTTTTATAGATTATTTTTCGAAAAAATTAGATTTGGAGGTCAATATCCAAAAAGTGTCAATTTTTTTTTGAGGTTAGGTCAATTGAATTTTTTCATAAGTTCATTCCTATCTACAACATACCAGAAATTCAGTCATTTTCAGAGATATTTTTCTTGAAAAAATTCTATTTGGAGGTCAATATCGAGAAAACTGTCAATTTTTGGAGGTTAGGCCAATTGGATTTTTTAATCAGTTCATTCCTATCTACAACATGCCAAAAATCCAACCATTTTCAGATACATTTTTTTTTCGAAAAAGTGACATTTGGAGGCCAATATCGGAAAAACTGTCCATTTTTTGAGGTTAGTTCGATGGAATATCTGTTCAGTATATCAAAGTCTGCAACATACCAAAAATTCAGCGATTTTCATCGAGAGCCATTTTCCCTATAGTTTAGTGCGGGGTCCTTTAATTTGTAGGATAAGCGTAAGGTATCAGCAGAAAATCTGTAATTCGGAAAACTTTAGAGATAAATCAATGAATAAAGAAACAAAATGCTCGCAATAGAAGCCTCATGGTTCGAGTTATTCCACCACCATCAAGGAGGCTTTGAAAAAATTGTCACCTCTTTATTTTTTTTTCAAAGAAAAAAAATAGAAATTGGCCTACTATTTTTTGTTTTTTTTTTAAGAAGATAGGTCAAATATCAAGTGCGTCACTTTTTTGAAACTGAGTGTATTGTTTCCAAAAATGTCAAGGAATATCATTTAGGCAACATATTCAATGTGCCTATAATTTCAAAAATTCGTCACTAGAATTGGCGAACTGTGTAACACTGTATACATATATGACGATATACGCAGTGTTACCGTCTTCTGAGTGTGAAATAAATGAAAATGTTCTGGCTTGATAAATAATAAGCGCTGTTCAATTTATTTTTCCTGAAGATTTATTGTCGAGTCGATTCACATCTGTTTCATACTGTTAGCAACAATTGCACAATAAAAATGGATAAACTATTCTGCAAACAATTATATGTACCTTGCCGAGCAATTTTCTCGAATTTGTTCCTTGATGAATGCTCATAACGACTTTTATTTATAGCTGATTCTGTTATATAACTAAAAAATGTGTTTTTCGTTGGAATCTAGAACATGTTTCGCTTTCTTGACTGTATCAATAATCGAGATAACTTGTGTCATATGACTTGTGTGGTTGTCTTCTCATCTATCTAGACTACTAAGATAAGAGACCTGTTGAGCTTGTTCGCAAATTCACAGATTTACCACACACGACTTACTGGTTTGATGACAGAAAATTGATTTCTGTTCGATTAATATTAGTGGAAATTGGCTATTGGTACTGGTACTGGTGGGGGACGTTTCCACGTCAGCAACTAGTCCCCAATGGGACCTTTTTGCAAACCCCAAGTGTTTTCAATGACTGATGTGGTTCGCTCAAGAGGCACCGCCCATCAGCTCTCTTTTTTTCAGAGTTTTTCAGCTGTGTTTTGTAGGCTAGTAATGTACTCACTACCATATGCGCAGTGGCAGGCCTGCTAACTATCATCGTTAACCCCCGAGACCGAGGTCTACTTAAGCAGCTGGCCCGCTCTCACGCTCAGCTGGTAGTTTTCCACACCCACCTACATACACCGTCCTACTTCTTCTCTGATGCTCAGAACCACATCATCATATCTTTCTGCGTGTTCTTTGTAGGCTTTGTTACTAACTCCATGCGCCACTTTAGGAGCAGCACTGTTAATTGGAACGCAACAGCGAATCGTGCAGGACTATCCCCAGCCGATGCTCCGAAACTTTACAATATTCAATTCGTAAATAACATATTGAAAAAAGTTCCTTTGTCCGTGCTGGAAATCGAACCCACGACCTTGCGGTCGTGAGACGGACGCTCTTCCACTGCGCCAATCCCGGCTCCGGAAATTGGCTAACAATAATTGTTAATGAGTTCTCGTTATCCCATACTCACGGTATTCAGATGACAATTGAAAAGTTGATGTTGACATCATCCGTCCGTTAAGATTTTTTTTCTACTCACATAAGTAAAATGGCATTTAGCGTACGGATATGTATCACGCTAAATGATTGACTAATCACGGATTACAGATATGTGATTCATTCGAAATATTAAACACGTTACCATGGCAACACGATTTCTTAAACACATTACCATGGCAACACAGTTCATTAAACACAGCTTCAGTAGTTTGAGACATGTCTGGCCTGTCAATTGTATTAACTGTCAACTGTAATTTTCGAATTTTGTATCAGAATTATTCAAACAATATTCGTTCGTATCAGAATTCTTCATTAAAAATATATGGGAAATGTAGACGAAAGTGAAATTCAAGAGAATGTTCTGGTACTTGCATATCTCCAAGCAGTGTATGAAGCATCCATCTTTGAGAACAATTTATTTATTCTGCGCTTAGCATGACAATAAACGTGAAACAAAGGTTAGTTAGCAATGAATTGCACACATCTACAACCAATATCACTTATACGCGAGGGGTAAGTCTCCAGGAAACATGTGTACACCAGACTTCCAATTAACATAGACTTCCAAAGACTTCCAAAGACATCCAAAGACTACCAAAGACATCCAAAGACTTCCAGAGACATCCAAAGACTATCAAAGACTTCCAAAGACATCCAAAGACTCCCAAAGACTTCCAAACACATCCAAAGAATTCCAAAGACTTCCAACGGAGTGTACACGAGACTTCCAAGGAGATTTACCCCTCGCTTATACGTGTCTCGTTGGTTGCATGCAGTTGCATGTATTATGTTCTCAATTCCCAATCCTTTCGAATTATTTTGTAGGTTAGCAGAAATAGCAGGTATGTTAATGTGATTTTCGGAGTTCGTAGAAAAAGCATAGTATGTAACGCGGTTATATTAAACTCTTCTAGACACTCGTTTATTAAACACTCGCTTTGCTCTGCTCCGCTCGTGCTTAAAATACTCGTTACTAAATGGACGTTTATAACACTTGTTACATAATATACTATTAACGGACGGATCTCTCAGCGGGATGACGAAAAGTCTTGAATAACACGGTTGTTATAATCCTCGGCTGTACCTCGGATTTCAGCCTCATCTGTTATCTGCTCTATATCAGCCTCGTAAGGTAAATAACGATAGTATGTCCTTGATATTTCTCGAAAATCTATTCTGTACCTCATTTATTTGAAAAACCTATATGAATGACGATATGTTTTGAAAAATCGCAGAATGAATAAGGAACAATAAATGAGACATTTCCTGATACATTGGAATCCATTGAATCGTTTCAAATGACATATAATGGCTAAAACTGAGTACATTGGGTACAATCCCATTTTATTACTTGCCGAAATGAAGATTTCATTATGCTATATTCATAGTTATATTATTATACAATAAATCACGCAACTCTCTCATGCAATGAATATTCTACTGATGACAGCTATGTCGTTAAATCAAGATTGTGATATAAAATGTTGAACAATCATATCATGAAGACCAGCGAAAGTGATTTATTTGACTGTAAATATTGTGAATAAATACATGTTCGTTTCTAAACTCCCAAAAATGAACTCCATCCTGTATATGAACATTTCAATCGAAGTTTGCTAAAATCTGACATATACTCTGACATTGACAATAAATTCCATTTCTTTAACATTTCGGCTCGATGTAAAAAATGCTAGTGATTGTAACTCCAATTTCATTACTGATACTCTTGACCTGGTTGAATGTTATCTGCTGCAGCACCATCCTATGCTGCTAAACTGAACAATGTTATGCTTGTATGCTAGCATAGCGACTGCAATAGCTGTTGCTGCACTCTGCTGTGTAGCCAGAAGAGTTATTCCCTGTTTGTAACCTGATATCACCAAGATGTCCAAGGTGGCCAAAAAACCTGCTGCTAAGGTCAGCAAGACCTCAGCTCGCCCATCAGTTCAGTCGAAATCGAAAGTTTCCCTGAAACCAGGGGATAAGGGAAAACCTGGTGCTCCCCCAGAGAAGAAGAAAGCCCCAGAGTTCGTTATGCCCGCATTCAGTATACTACCCAAAGCACAAGACAAGATCGACTGGGAAGTCATCAAAGCGCGGACCATGAGGAGACAAGCACCAGAAGGCGAAGACATCAAAGAGATAAGAAGGATCCTCAAAGAAGTGAAAGACCAGAAAATCCCAGTGCATGACTTTATCAACTTGGTGAGCTCTTATACCGCCGATAATGGTGCTGAGTTGAGGACTATCATGGCAGAGGACGAAGCGACATTCCTGAAGCTAGCTAGAAAAGTGTACGAAACAATGACACAAGACGTGAGCGATGTCCTAGTGAACGAGCAACTCCAGATGGCGCAGTACTACGAAGAAAGACACAACCTGATGACCGAGAAAATGATGCGAGCTATAAATGAGATCTACGAAATGGCTCCTGACTTCGATTTCGAAAAGTTCGTCAGAGACAGAGAAGATTACCTCAAGACCATCCTGCCGCTACCAATCATAGTCAACAAGGCTGCTGAAGACATAGAACTCCAGAGACGACAAGAAGCCTACCACAGACTCCAATGGCTGAGGAGCGAAGGTGAAAGAATGACTGAAGAGAACAGGAGGCTGCAAAGAAGACTGGAGGAACTGAAGGAAGAACAAAAACGTGAGCAAATCGTAGCCTCTGAAGTGGCAGCAGAAGTCGAAGCTAAGAGACAAGAGCTAGTGGTCGAGGAGACAAAAATGAAGGACCAACTGGATGTACTGAATGAGTCTGTGGAGAAGACGTTCATCGAAAACGAAGCTGTGATGAGCAAGCAGCACAACGTCACAGCATCCACCGGTGCTGTTAGCAGACCTCCACCCAAGAAGAAGCCTCTGAAGAAGAGGAAGCCCGTGAAGAAAGAATGGGTATCCGAAATTGCTTCTGAGATGGATGACATTGCCATCCAGCAGGCTATGGCAACGGAAGCCGAAGGTGTTCCTCCACCTACTAGGCTCGAGTATGTCATGGAGACTCCTGCGCCCTATGAACCTCCAAGACAAAGGTCCCCATTCCACTTTTCTCCTGAGTACAGGGCTCCACCAGAACCGGTTCCTCCGAGGGAGGTGTTGGAGGATACTAGGATCGAGCAGGCGCAGGTTAGGGTGCAGCAGAGGAGGCCTGTCCCACAAAGTAGAGCTAGCTTGGCACCAAGAGACACGTGGGGAGGATTTCATTGATGGTACTCGTGAATTATGTTTTATAAACGGTCTGATAGTTGAATTAAACTCATTACATAAATTCTTGGATTTTATAGATTTTTATTGTTTTCTTATTATTTTTATCTCTTAGAGTGTACGGCAGGGAATTCCTATAATGTTCGAAGAACATTGGGCTAACCTAGGGAGGGTAGGGAGACGAGGTCACTATTGAAATATTTTCACGACTCTAATTATAAATTCCTGGGAATACTTCCTTTGGCAATATATGGAACATACTGTTTGTCTGACTGGTATTATCAGTCGGTCGATCGACCACAAAAACGATATTAACAAATCATAACTAGTTTCGGCTCAACGGCCATCTTCAGACACATAAAATACCTAAGAAGACATGTGGAGATACGCTCAACTAGAAGCTGGGTCAAGAATCGGAGAATCAGGCAGGTAATCAACTGGTTTTTCGGTAGTGTGTAGAGGAATTCTTGGTGCCAAATACGGTAGAATGTTTCCGATATATACAGGTTGATGCAGGTTTTGGGGTACAAACTGATGAAATGGGTAATAGATCTCCCATGTCAATTGAAAAAGTTCATATTACCATGAATCCGATCTCGATCAGTTGCGTATCTACAGGGGGTCAAAGTTTAATATTGTTATTCTATTAATTGAAATATGTCGCTCACTTTTGAAAATATCAATTTGAAATTTGGAGTAGTTGATACTATTTAGGTTCCATCATTTGAAGCATTTTAGAGGCTTTTCCTGCACCTCATTTTTTTTTTCCAGAAACGAACCGTTTTCGAGATGAATAGACATATTATATTATCCGTTCTGAAACATCTCGATTTCACCTATAATTTTGTTTCCAATTTCAATCTTAGACAAAATTAGTTAATAATAATGGAATACGTAAAAGAAATTATCACATTCCGCAAGAAGATTCTTCCCGACAAGTTGAATGCTATCTCATTTTGCAATTTTTTCAAATGATTTTGAAAAAGATATTGGATGAGGAATATGGATACAAGTTGAAGGGGCTTAACCAGTGGCTTAACACGAATTTTGCTCGTTGTCGTTGGATTGGTCGATTTAAAACAACCTAACCTTCCTCCCCTCTGTATCTCCGTTACTTATTCAGATTGGAAAAAATTGAGATGCAGATACAGTCTTCAAATTGAACGTTCCACCCTATTTGGTAACTGAAAAAATTCGGGGGGAATAAAGAAGCATCTACCCTCAAAAACATATCACCCTCTAGAGAGTTTTGACCACACCAAAATTCGATTTGATATCTTCAGAAGTGAGCGAAATATTTCAATTAATAGAAAAAAATAATATCAAACTTTGACCTATTGTATCTACGCTACTGATCGTGATCGGACATATATTAATACACACTTTTTATCGAAATGATGAAATCTATCACTCATTTCCGTTTGTACCGCTTATCCTGGATCATCCTGTGTAACGCCACCTCTAGAGATCTGCTGTTTTTCCAATGGAGCTTGCCATATACAGTATGATGCAAATGTATGGAATAAATTCATTATTTCAGAAATAGGCGACATTTTGAAAAATTTCAAAAAAACGTGAGGTTTCATTTTTGAAGCCTCATCTCATGATATCCATATGAGAGATGTTACGTCACCGGTGTTGGAGTAATGACGCAATGAACGATTTTTTCAAATGAAAACAGGGGTCATGTGACACCTCGTTTGAAAGGTCTACTGATCGTCTATTCAACAGTCAAAATTTTGCATAAGAAAATTGGGATTAAAATGGATTATCATTCGATTAACTGAATCTTGCAGAGGTCTGCTACTGAGAATTGAACAACGAAGGGTCGTCTATTTTAAAAAAACATCAATTAATAGAGTTCTGAAGTCTAGTTTTTGTATTTTTTTCGAAAGTCGTCTTGTTTTGAGATGAATTTATTCCATACATTTGCATCATACTGTATATGATGGGTGACGTAGGCAAGTGAATCTCCAGTTGATCCTTGATGTCGAAAACCATATTGTCTATTATCAATGATTCTTGAGCTTTCCTGGATTTTGTGGAAGATAAAAGTCCAAGCCAAGTGGAGTCCCAAATAGAACGAATCAGATCAGCCTATAGGCTCGACAACGTAGTGTGATTTCAAGGTCAGGTTAAGTTAGGTGACAAGCGCCTAGCGGTAGTCAAGGTCATTATCTGACGTTGCAATGCCATAAAAACTACTGGAAAACATGCCTTGTCTTCAATTTGAGCCAGAAGTAAGGAATGTTGTTCCGTAGTTCTCATGTCATCGTAACTTCAGATGATGACCATGACTACCGCCAATACCAACGAATTTTAGAAATATCGAGGTCATGTGACACACACCACACGATATTTTTTGTTTCTCCATTGTGAAGTGACTCGATGGCTCGAGTTCAACCCCGCGTGGCGTCAATTTTTTTTTCTCGTAAAGTATACTTTCCAGAAATAGCTTCATTTAGGCCGAGTTATATTGAAAGTAGTCTCTTTTTTCATTCAGAAACGATATTTTTCTTCCTCAAATCCTGATATATCACCTCATGAGTCTTATAACCTCCAGATAACCTTGAGATTTCGAAGATTTGGTGGTATGGCTAGACGCTTGTGGTGAGAGGTAAGGTTAGGTTATGTGGATTTTGTGGAAGATAAAAGCACGAGAGAGGTCCCACTCAAAACGATTCAGATCAGCCTAGGCTCGACAGCGTAATAAGGTTTCAAGGTCAGGTTAGGTTGGGTTAGGTGGATTTTGTGGAATATAAATGGTCAAGCTGAGAGAAGTCCCTCATAAAACGATTCAGATCATCCTAAGCTCGTTCCACAGCGTAGTGTGATTTCAAGCAGGTTAGGTTAGGTGTGTGTTTAAAAAAAAAGTGTTTTTAACCGCCAGCTTAGTTGCAAAGCAACCCTCGAAAGTCAGAGACTTGTGTGAGTTAAAAGATGGGGACCTTAGCTTTTTAAGTGTCATCCGAAGCACTACTCGGCTGGTAACCGTGGACAGTCCAAAGGATTGATATCTAGGTACCAAGAATGTTGGGTTGGCCACCTATCTCCTCCCGCCCAACGAAACTACCGAAAATTAATTCAGTGCTCGCGCCGGGGATCGAACCCGGACCGCCTGGGCAACAGCCAGCGACTCTACGCTCACGGCCACCAGCCCAGGTTAGGTGGATTTTGTGGAAGATAAAATTCCGAAAGGGTCCCACTCAAAACGATTCAGATCAGCGTAGGCTCGACATCGTAGTAAGGTTTCAAGGCCAGGTTAGGTTGGGTTAGGGTAATTTTGTGGGAGATAAATGTTGAAGCCAAGAGGCGTCCCACATAAAACGATTCAGATCAGCCAAGGCTCGTTCGAGGTTAGGTTAGGTAGGTAGATTTTGTGGAAGATAAAAGCTCGAGAGGGGTTTCATTTGAAAAGAAACAGATCAGCCTAGGCTTGACAGCGTAGTGGGATTTCAAGGCCAGGTTAGGTTGGGTTTGGTGAATTTTGTGGAAGATAAATGCCCAAACCAAGATTAGTGCCACATAAAACGAATCAGATCAGCCCATGCTCGTTCGACAGCGTAGTGTGGTTTCAAGGCCTGGTTAAGATAGGCTAGGTGGATTTAGTGGAAGATAAAAGCCTGAGAGGAGTCCCACTCGAAACGATTTTTATCAGCCTAGACTCGACAGCGTAGTAATGTTCCAAGGTCAGGTTAAGTTGGGTTTGGTGGATTATGTGGAAGAGGAGTTCCACCGCGTAGTGTGGTTTCAAGGTCAGGTTAGGTTAGGTCAGGTGGATTTTGTGGGATATAGAAGCCCGAGAGGGGCTCCACCTGAAACTAATCAGATCAGCCTAGACTCGACGGAGTATTAAGGTTTCAAGGTAAGGTTAGGTTGGGTTAGATGGATTTTGTGGATGTTGAATGCCCAAGCCTAAAGGAATCCCACATGGAACGAATCAGATCATCCTAGGCTCGTTCGACAGCGTAGTGTGGTTTAAAGGTCAGGTCAGGTCAGGTTAGGTATTAGGTTAGGTTGATTTTGTGGAAGATAGAAGCCCGAGAGGGGTCCCACATGGAACAAATTAGATCAACCTAGGATCGACAGCGTAGTAAGGTTTCAAGGTCAGGTTAAGTTGGGTTAGGTGGATTTTGTGGAAGATAAATGTTCAAGCCAAGCCTAGGTTCGTTAACAGCGTAGTGCGGTTTCACGAGAGCCTAAAATTTTCTTATCATTCCAAAACCTCATTGTCAGATTGGTCACAGTGAATCACGTGATACATTATGGACGCATGCGCATCCGCTTGTAGAAAAACGAATTATTAACGAAACTCTCTGGGTCTCGAGAGGAAGGAAAAACATTACCTAATGAAAGGCTTTATCACTAAACAAATAATCACAGTGGACCCATGCTATTAGAGGACCAGCAATAAAACTCTCTGGCCAAACTCAGCCTCCATTTTATTGCGAAAAATAATCATCAAAAAACACGAATCTCAACATATCACGTGATCGAAAGATTAAGGCACTTCTGAGGTTTCAAGGTCAGGTTAGGTTAAGTTGGATTTTGTGGAAGATGAAAGCCCGAGAGGGATCCCACTTAAATCGAATCAGATTAGCCTAGGCTCGACAGCGTAGTGTATTTTCAAGGTCACGCTTGCATTCCTAGGTCAGGTAAAAGTATAGCTCGCGACATGGCGCGGAGAAAGAAACTGAAAGTAATTTCTGTTTCTTAACACTGTTATTACGGCGCTCGGTTATGAGATTCGAATCCGAATGGTATAATCTCACGTCATTAAGCTGAATAATTTTATTGTTGTTTATAAAAAGATTCCATGATGATCATGATTTCGTAATGAAGGTTCATTAGTGTCGCGGAACAGGGAAGTGAGTTACACTGAGATTGCTTTTGAATTTTCAGCGTCCGGTGGAATTTTTTTTAGAATTGCTATAGGTATCCTGATTTCCTTGTTTTCGGATTGGTATGATGAATGAACAAATGATTATAATTAATGAAACAAGAGTCGAGATGGCAATGAATACAAAATATACATGTGCATCATACATATACAGTGTGTCCCACTTACCATGCTCACCATGGGTATCT